AGCAATTTGCAAGTTTTGCTTTGCTTGTTTTTAAGATGAGGAAAACTTGTACAACTTCCCACTGCAATTTGTGAAAGTTGCACCTGGAATTTACACAAAATGTGCACCTTGCATTTGGGGTTAGCACAAAATTCCCTGGCTTTCAACAGACAAACAGAAACATGCAGATCACAGCACACTTTACAAGTGGAAGGCACAAAAACACCCATACAGGCCTGCTTTCAAATAAGCACAAGTTGGTTAAATTTCTCAGAGGTATGGAACGGGCTTCCACGGAAGGTGGTTGAAGCCCCATTGGTCAGGGGTCAGACTAGATGACCCGGGAGACCCCTTTTGACTCACTCTGTTTCTATGTTTCTATTTCCAAGAATGAGTTCTGCAGCTGAGCAGTTGGCCCTCCCCAATTTCCACATTTAGTTTGCATAGTTCACTGTCCTTGATTTTGCTAATCCATGAGCGAGCAATTGATTAGTGACTGGCAAACTTAACCCAGAAGAATGTTTTATTTCCTTGGATAATAACCAACTCACCCATACAGGGTGAATCTGGATTTCATGTGCACTATTTGCATTATGTTTATTTATTGTATGTAAGCCGTCCCGAGGCTCATGTGACTGGGACGGCATACAAAAATCCTAAATAAATAAATAAGCAAGCAAGCAAGCGAGCTTGAACCAATGCTCTTCCTTAGAGCAAGCCCTCAGTTCACAGAAATGACATTCTGCATCTGTGCAGTACCATATTGCATCCTGGGAGCTCTCATTTGCCCCGTGGCATCACGTGTCCCTTTTGCGACCATCATGAACCCATTCAGCGCATGTATGGAAATGGCATTTTAAGGTACAAACACTGCCTGTTTGGAAGCCTATCCCTGGGGAGCCCTCTGCAGGGCTGCCTCTGTCTTGGCCAGATGTGGCCAGATGTGCAATAAGGACCAAGGAAGGGGAAGCGGAAGCGGAAGGGGAAGGGGAAGGGTGCAGGAGGCATGGGGTGGACTCCACATCCTTCTTACAGAAATGTCAAGTACAGATTGTACCAAAAAAAAAAAAGGATACACTTTAGAGAGCCCAGATGATTCAACCCAGTTCATCCCAACACTATTTTAAAACTGTGCTCCAAGCATATATCCATTCATAGCAGCAGTTAATCCATTAATGTTCGTGGAGGTGAGTGTGGAAAGACATGGCGGGGGGCGGGGGAGCATGCCCTGCCACAGCACCGTTCTGACGTGCTTTGGCAGGTCTCTCGAGGGCTGTTAGCAGCGACTTGAAAAGGAAAAGCCATTTCTTCCTTGCTGCGCCAGCCGAGCATGAGCGAGTGGGTGAAGCACGGGGGCATCATGGGGGGCGGTGTAGGTGGGGGGCTAAGACGAAGGCGAAGGGGAAGGGGAAGGAAGGACTGATGGATGGACTCCTCGCGGTACAGCTTAGACTCCCCTGAAGTGCTTTCAGCCAAACAGATGCGTACGAAAGGCCACGGCGAAATCTTGTGAAAATGGAAGTTTAAATAGCATAAAGTATTCACGACGCCTTTGGGACCCATCAAGCTATTTGGAAAAGGTCCATATGAACATTACACTTTTATATGTGGGAAGTGTGAATTGTATTTTATACATATCCTCTCCATCCCTTTCTCTCGCACTCTCTCTCATGTGCGCGTGCACACACACACGCACGTGTGCAAGCGCACCTTCTCTTTCCTGCAGCTCCTGCGTGAAAGGGGCTTCCCTGCCCCAGGGACCTGCAAGGAAGCCATCTGGGGTTGGCGTTTGCCGGATTCCCTGGGCTCGGCTCTGCACGACGGAGGCCAGTGGTCCGGGTGCCGGGCGAGCGTGTGGCATCCACCGGGCGCTCGCTGGGGAGCGAGTCCCACACGCCGTGCAAGCGGCGTCTGCGTGTGTGCCAGAAGACTCCTCCTCATGCCGAGGAAGGCTGGCCGAGGGGTGCTCGGGACCGAGGGGCCCAGCGGGAGAGCACCCCCAGTGCTTAGCGGCACCCCCTGTGTGCCACTCAGAGCAGCGACTGCTCCTTGGGGTGAAGAAGGCTGGTTGCCAGACACGCAGCACCCCCGGGAGGGTGGCCCCCAAAATGCGAGGTAAGCAGCATCCCTCATCCAGGCCAGCGGCAGCCACCTTTCGGGCTGTTGCCGCTGGCGTGGAGGAGAGTTGGACACCCGGGGCTCCGTGAGTGCTTGCAGACTTCCTCCTGGCTCAGCTCGCTTCGGAAGACCAGGCTGAGCACAAGAGGACGGATCCCAGCAAGAAGGGCCCAGCTCCACCTGCCCCACTGTGAAGCCACCTTGCGGGGGCTCAGAACATTGCTCCATCCTGCCCGGTTCTGTCTCTTGCCACCAGGGGCAGTTCTGCTCGGGGAAGGGGCCCTCCTGCACATACAGAAGGTCGAATCCCCTCTTTTCCCAGGTGGGACTAGTAAGGAAACCCTGGACAGCCACTGCCGGTCAGTGCCAACAATATTGGGTTTGATGGCTCAGGGGTATGACTCCTGATGCTTCTGTTGCCAGGCAGCTTCTGGTGTGCCTATTTCGATCAGTTCTTCGTTTACAACCATGAGGACTAGAATCTTCCATTAAAGTTAGAGGAATAAACATAGTTCAGTGGTGGCACACCAGCATGGTAGGCAGAAAGTCCCAGGTTCCACCCCTAATTTCTCCAGGCAGGACTAGGAATGAATCCTGCCTGAAACCCCCGAGAGTGGCTGCCGGTCAGAGTCAGCACTATTGGGCTAGAAGGGCCAAGGCTCTGACTCAGTATAAAGGCAGACTCTTATGCTTCTCCCAGCTAAGACCCAGCCATCTCCTACCCACTCGCAAGGGTCAGACTACATGGCTAGGCAAACGGGTTGGCCACATGACTCCTAAGTGGTGTGTGTGGGGGGGGGTCCCTTTCACACCACCCATAAAAGGAGCAGGATCTGCCAAGCAAAGTGTTCTCGGCTGAAGGGCAGCCACTGCTTAAAGGAGCGCAGCCGTCTGGCCTGGCTCTCCACCGCAGCGACCCATGACGAAAGGAAGGTGACGATGGAGGATCTGCTCAGTTCCAGCTGGATCATTCCAACACACTGAACTCTCCAAGTGGGGATTCTGCCAGCGGGTGACTTCGGCAAAACACGGGGATCTTGGATAGCCTCTTGGTACAAACCCAAAGCGCTTTAGATGCAAAGGCTGTTGGGTCGAATCCAGGGATGCTGGAGGGCCTCTGGGGTTCTTCGGACCTCCAGCGCTATCTTTGGCTGTTTGCCATAACATGGGCCACTCTGCCCAGGAAAGGGGCTCTCCGCTCTCCAAGAGGAACAAGCACAGGTACTCGGGGCAAGGGAAGATGGTGAGGTCAAGGGACAGAAGCGTCTGCGCTCGGTCTCCCTGCCTTCGTGGTGTCCACCCTGACTTGCTGAGGTCTCCTAGCCTTCTCCGGCTGTGCTTGGAGATGCAGTTCAAGGGGGACCTTCTTCATGAAAAGCATCAAGAGCCAGTGTGGCCTAGTGGTGAAGAGCGTGGGACTGGGACTCAGGCGATCCGGGTTCGAGTCCCCGCTCGGCCATGAAGCCAGCTGGGTGACTCTGGGCCAGTCACAGACTCTCAGCCCAACCTACCTCACAGGGTTGTTGTTGTGGGGATGAGATGGAGGAGGAGAATGATGTAAGCTGCCTTGAGCCCTTTGTAGGAAAAAGGCAGGATATAAATTGAAAAATAAATAAATAAAATTAACTCCGCTACTGATGGGAGGGTGGGCGAAGGGGTCGGGCTGGGGGCTGATGTGGCGAGCTTGCATAAGAACATAAGAAGCGCTGGAGCAAGCCAGTGGTCCATCCAGTCCAGGACTCCGTTCACATGGTGGCAAACCAGCTGCCCACAGGATCCCTCGAGCAGGATGGGTGCAAGACCTCCTCCTGCCCAAGCCCTTCAGCAAGCGGTGCATCCTCTGGAGAAGGGGGTCGCCCATAGCCAGCAAGCCTAGTGGCCACGGACACCCACCTCCTCCGAGAATCTGTCCAGTCCCCTTTAAAGGCCACACTGATTGGTGGCCGTCAAGACTTCCTATAGCCGCGAATCCCACGGTGTGACTTTGCCTTGTGTGAAAAAGAGGTTCCTTTTATCTGCCCTAAATCTCGCTTGTTTCTATCGGTAAAGGCCGAAGGGGAACGTCTCCGTAATAACACAGTGCTGAATGCAGCTGCTGGTTCTGCTAATGCTTCTTTTGAACCCACATTGTGGCCAAGTCCAGAATTTCCTCCTTTTGGGGCAGAGTTTACGGAACAGGTAAACGTGGTACTGGAACAGTCTTTAACATTCACTGATGTACACCATCTTTTAGATAACCTTTTAAATTATCTACAGGCTTTTTGGACATTAACAGACTTCAGCACAAATGGGTTTTCTGTGCTGTTTTGACATCTAAATGATTACAAAACCAGAAGGACAAAGATTCACATCCTGTAATGCAAAGGGTCAATGGATGATTATTTGGATATCTAGTCTGCTTTTGTGGAAGCTTGCATAAAACGTTTTGCATATGCATTCATTGCTATGGATATATACAGATCTACATAAGTATATTAAGGAACGGATTTAGGAGGAGGAGGAGGAGGGGAGGTAATCCTGAGCTGGACAGATAGATGGCCTGATTCAGTAGATTTTATCAGTATTCTAAAACGTTCTTCCCCAAGCTGGTGCCATTGAGCATGCTGGCTGGGGCTGATGGGAGCTGGATCCCACATGTCTAGAGGGCATCTGCTTAGCAAAGGCTGCTCTAGTGCCTGTGATGGACCCATGTGACGCCCACTTTTTGGAGGCCGGTCCTGGAGCAAAGCAGGTTTAGATGACACAGACCTGGGCACGTACCGCCAGGAGGCAGCGCTTAGTGGCTGCCGGCCTCTTCTCCCATGAATGGAGCACCTGGCACAGGGAAGGCTGGTTGTGGGGAGAGCACTAGGCTGCTTCAAGGACGCCCAAGCCCCCCCCCCCTCCACTGGCAGAACAGTTACCTGTCTTGAGTCCCGTGCGAGCCCACTTTCTCATTCTTCATGCAGAAATCCGGCGAGCTTTGCAGGTAGACCAGTTCGGTCTCCTTGACGGGGCGGATATCAAGATCCTTGGGGACCAGGTGCTTGCGTGTGCCCATGGGGCGGTGCACCACCTTGGTGGCTGAAAGGTATTTGTTTTTCAAGTCCAGGGCGATGTCCCTCAGCTCCTGAAGGCCCCTCCAGCAGGTTTTGATGGAGCAGGAGCCAGACACCCCATGGCACTTGCACTTCATTTCCAGGGACGCTTTCAGGGCCTGCAACAAGAGCCGCACACGCATTTTGACGCAATCCTGGCTGGTGGCTGGAACGCCCCTTCCGTCACCGCCCTTCCCTCCCAGGAGAGGCTAAAAGGAGCACACGCCCCCGGGGGGTTCCAAGAGGCAGGGGCTGCGTCCCAGGAGCCAAAATGCAAGCTAAGCTCAGTTGCATAAATTTGGGAAATGCTTCTTGGAGTTCTTCCCTTCTAGTCCCTTCCCTGATCTCCATCTGTTTTGCCCTGCTGTCAGGACCTTTGATTGCAAGCTCCTGGGGGCAGGGACCTATGACCTTCTCTTATTCTGTCACTCTGAACTATGTTGTGGAATAACAACAACAGTGGTAATAATGATAATGGTAATATCATATTTATTTATTTAAAGCTTTTATACACCCTCCCATTACTGGTGTCTTGGAATGGTTTACAACCAGCACAAATATCATCCCACGGATAATATCATCTTGCACGATTAATCCTTTTCTCGTCAAAGGGGAAGGAGTTCGGGATCTTGTCCAGCCTTTCGGCATTCGGCTGTCACATCCGATAGGGTGTGGAAGTGGAAAAGGCCTAGGTCTCAAGAGCTATGGGCCAGACTAGACTCGGTCCAAAAAGTGCAAAACGCATTTCAGCGATCCAATTTATAGCCAAATGGAACTAGCGACCGGGGAGGAGCTGATTAGAATTGGGACTGCATGGTCTAAGGGCCCAAACCCTAACCTTAACCCTCTGGGCCATGATCCAGCCCAGGATGGCGCCCACCAGAAGCTGCACCCCAGAAGAAGAAGACCAGAAGATGGCACCCCAAGAGAGTGACGCCCCCTGACATCAAGAGGGTCTGCAGGGGGTGGGTTTCCATTGGGCCCACGGCACGGTGGAAATGCCTAACCACCATAGCGGTGCAGTGGGATCTCAAGCACCCGCTGCCGCTGAGCTGCTTCAAAGCCCACCCTCCAGGCCTGTGGGACCCACGCCCATATTCTGCACACACTCTTGTAAATTCCGGGAGGCCCCGTTGCTTCGCCATGGGTGAAGCCTTCAGGAAGGGTGCATTCCAAAATTACCCCCTTGCTCAAGTCAGAAGTCGATCCCTAGTCAACACTGATCACCAAGCAAGGCTGCAGGGAGTGCCGGAAGGCCAAGGCTTCCGCTTTATTTGCTCTGCTCCCACAGCTGCTCTTGCGCTACCAGGGAGGAAGACTAGCGCCTGGGAAGCTCGGACTGGCCAGGCCGGCCAAGAACTAGCCAAGACGGCTGCTTCTGGGCTGAGGCGCCAGCTGGGCTTGCAGAAGGAGGCTCTACGGACTCCCCCACTCCGGAACCCCTAGTTTGGGCCCGTCTCCTGGGTCACACAAGGTATTTGGAGCTGGAAACTCATTCCACCCTGGGGGTGTGGATGCAACTCCTGCCTGGAAGGGATGCACCTTTTCCTTTTAAAGGAACGCCATGCAAGTAGGACCCCCCTTTGAGAAAGTACCACCTCCAGCGGTCGCTTCACATGGTGAGGATGGTCCAGGCCAGAAGCCCTCCAAGCTGCTCAGTGCCACGGATGCACAAAATCCAGGATGAGTGGGCGCTGAGGACACCATATGAGGTGCTCCACCGTGGTGAACCTATTGTTCAGCACCATGGACAACGCCAATGACGCTCAAAAGAAAAGCTGGAATGGGTGAGTCACCAGCTTCCCCTGGCAAAATTCGGCCAGCTCATCCCGATTCTCTGAGCAGGGATCAGAGGAGGTGGTGGTCTGGAAACAGGCAGCCGGAACTGGAGGTGGCCTGCATGAAACGCCCATCCCCAGGTGTGCGAGGAATGACTGGAGCCTGCAACTTGGGAGGCACCGGCTGAGAGGCAGAGAAGATGCGTGGCCTGAAATTGGCTTGTGCAATATTTTGAAGCAGGGAAAAGAATCTGACTGCTGAGAAGTAGGAATATGCTATGCTGGGGGTGCACACAATATAGTCATAACTATAACAAAATAAAATAAAGGATTCTTGGCTCGCCACACAAGTCCAAATCAGAAACAGAATTCTGTGCAGACAGATTTTATTTTAAAGGCAAGGTTGCATTCCTGAAAGGCTTTCCTGGAATTCTACAGGAGGAGGGCACAAGCCCTGGTGATGCGGAGCCGGGCAGCTTGCCCAGCTGTACACAGAGGTAGCGCCCACGTTCAACAGGGACCACCTGGCTGCTGTCCGGGTTGAGATAACCCAATAACCCACACTCAAGGGTTAAGTATGAGTGCTTGCTGGATCCTGGGTTGTTGCTGAGACATGGGTTATCATGTGGTCCGTGCCCAGCCAGCCAAGCAAACCAGGTTATTAGGTTGCCTGAACCCAGCCACTAAGTCAAAGCAGAGAACCTTCAAACCCAGCATGGCATCGTGACTAGTACCGGTTCTCTAGGGGCTTGGGCAGGTGTCTTCTTCCAGCCCCACCTGGAGAGGAGAGGGACTGAGCCGCGAGCCCCCTGCCGGGGTCAGCTCTGCCCGCCCTTTGCACCCTTCCTGGCTCCCGAGCCTGCCTCTCTCCCCCATCGCAGGGCACGTGCGCCCACCAGGGCTGTCTCGCGTCCACAGTGGCTCCTAGGGAGCCCCCGCTCTGTCACCCCTCGTGAGCCCCGATGATGAGTGCATAACGACAAGAACCCTCTCGGATTGGTTACCTGTCTCCCTACTTCACTGTTGTGCAGATGCATCAGCTTATTGGCTTGTGATCCTGATTTTTTCATCTTCATGGGAGCATCTGAAAATTTGGACCCCATGACAAGACCATAGTTGAGGTTGTCAGCACATCCGCCCCAGCGATACCCAGGTCCAGGTGTCTCACCTGGGATGGGACCACAGGAGCAGCCAGGGAGGTCCCCGGTGGTGCAGGCTCTGGCGATGGTGTGGCTGATGGCTGCGGCGGAGAGGGCGTGCACGAAAGCCGACTCCCTGGTGCCTGCAAGACAGGAGAGGAGGACGGACAGGGCAGCCGTCAGCGGGCGCTCCGGGCCTGGCTCCCGCCTTCCCCAAACTGCTGCCGCCCAAATGCATCCAACGACTCCCACCCTCCCTGATCGGTGGCAGGCTGATGGGAATCGGGGCCCCAAGGCATTAGACTCCCCGCAAGAAGATTGAAGGGCTAGTGAACGAGGACGGCCACATTCTTGTCATTTTCTGCAGTAACAGAAAGGTCCTACTTCTCCCACACAAGCGTTTGTAGCACCCAGACGGATTTGATGGGCTACAGAGCTCCCAGCAGCATCGGAAGCTGTCTTTTTATTTTATTTATTATTGTATTCCTTGGAAGGCCAATCATTGATCCTGCTTCTTAAACATTGAGCGCCAAGAACAGTAAATTTCTTCAGTCAGAGGAGTCTGAGGTCCCCCAGAAAGTGGCTTCTTGCAAGAAGTGACTTTGAGGGGGACACAAACCCCCCAGCCATGGTTCATGTGGAAGCGGCAAAAGGGGAAAGCACAGGCACCCTGTGTGAGAAACCATTTGGTCTTGAAATTCAGGATCAAACGCTGAGCACGGAGGCAGACCTTAGATTTCTGAGTTGAGTCTCTTTGACTTGAATGAACTCGGCTTTGCACAGGAGTCATCAGAAGCTCTTAAGAATCAGGCTGTCAGCTGCTGAGCATCTTTGCATGCCATCTGTCAAATTTGCCACCCATCAAGACAACTGTCAAATGCTGTCAAATATCCAATATTAAGTCAAATACCAAGTATGAACATCAGACCTCAATGGATGTCAAATGCATTTGACGGCCATTGCGATCTGAATTTAGTACTTGGCCTTTTCTTAACATTGGATGTTTGACAAAATTCAGTGATGACAAATTGGCCAATCAGTCAATATTTAGAGTCTACATTTGCACAGTGGGAGCCCATTAAAATGTAAGAAGGCTCAATTAGGCAAAGCTCCCTCTAGTCCGGCATTTGGTTCGCTCACTGGCCAGAAAGGTGTCCCTGCAGAAAGCCTACAACCCAGACATGGGCACAATATCACCCTCCTACCCATGATCCCCAGCAACTGGGGCACATAGGCAAATGGCTTCGATCTCTGAGGTTGCACAGGGCCATCGTGAAGCTGCCCCTTTCCCTTTCAAAGCTGTACATGTTGCTTCCCTTCCCTTCATTTCATGGAATTAAATTCCATAGTCTGACGATGTGACTTGTTCGCAAGGACGTCTTTTTGCCTGCCTGAATTCCGCCTTGTCCAGCTTCATGGGAGAAGCTGAGGTTCTAGTATTATCTGGTATTATGGGAAAGGAATGGAAGTTTTACCCCATCCATTTTTCTTCACTGTGTGCATCATTTTATGTTCCACTAAGCTAAAAAGCCCCAAACACTGACGTCTTTGCTTGCAAGAGTTGCTCAGATGCTCGATCGTTTTGCTTGTTCTCCCTGAACCTTTCCCAGCTGTTCCATGTGTGTTTTGAGATGCATCCACCAGAACTGGACTCGGCATCCCGAGTATGATCGCCATCCAGCTTGCAACAATGCTCCACCGGATCTATGCCTCCCGCATTCATGGACTCTCACACGAAGTCCACAGATGCTCCAGGAACAAAACTTGGACCTTCTTCTGTTCCACATGCAGCGGCACAAATGTTGCTGCCCATGATGCGGAAGGGAGGTGGCATTTGCACAGGAGCCATGCATGGCTCAATTCCTGGAGAGCAGCGGGCAATTAAAGGCAGATTCACAAGGAACGTGGACCCGTGGCTGCAGAGCAGGACAGCCTCCGAGAGCTGAGACAGAGCATCTGCTAGATTCCCCCCCTGAAACATTTTCCTCAGGTGTTCCTAGCGTGCATCACTTTACACACCTGTCATGTCACTGCAGGATGTGTCTTTTTTTCTAACCCCAAATGCCTCAAGCATTGCAACCTTTGCTCGAAGGGGATTTGCTTGGGCCCCTTTTCCAGCGCTCCAAAATGCTTTTGGTGATGCTGTCCTGCTCATGGGACCCCGAGTAGGGACACCACAAACCCTCCGCATCAGATGCCCGGCCCGTTTGGCAGAACCAAGCTCATGACGTGCATGCCACCTCTGGAAGAGAACCTTTCCTGGTTACCTCTCTCCAAATCTAGGAGGAAGTTGGGCGCCAGCTCAATGGAGGAGCAATTCCACCGCATGTCGGAGAAGGCTTTGCGGCACGTCTTGATCACCTCCCGCGCGGCCTGGATGACGCTCTGCATCAGTTCCAGGTTGCTTCGGCACAGCTGCACTTGCGAAAGCACCAGCCCTTCCAGCTGCTTGCAGTGCTGGGTCTGATTCAAGGCCAGGGCTGCAGGGGTCTTGAACAAGGCCCTAAGAAGAAAAGAAGACCCACGCCCAACAGCCCGTTAGTACAAAAGAGGAGACTCAGCACTTGCGAACCTGAAATGCAGCTGCGTCAGGCTGCCTGGGGAGGATGGGAGCTGAAGTCCAACACATCTCGAGGGCTTCGGGTGGTGGAGAGGGCTGTTCTGAACCAGACCGGTGCAATCATACGGAAACATTCAGAATGTCAAAGCCGAAAGCACTTTACTGGGGTTCCCAAATGATGCGACACTGCCAGTTTGGAAATTTGGAAAAAATGGAACAACACCCCACTTTAATTCGGAGCTCCCAGTCCCTGGGGTCCTCTGCCCCATCACCCAGCTCTCCATGATTCTGGCTTAAATCAAGGAGCTGGGACCCCAATCCCTGTGGCATCGGGTCCCCCCAAATTAGCTGCCTTTCGGCCCCCTTGCGCTTCTCCCTCTGCCCTTGTGCCCCAAATCTTTCTGTCCGGAGTTTTCTTCTGAAATCAAAGGCCTTCACCTCCCCTCTCAGGGGGGCTCTTGGAAGACAGGGTCCTTTAAGGACACGGACACACACACACAGAGAGAGAGAGAGAGAGAGAGAGAGAGAGAGAGAGAGAGAGAGAGAGAGAGAGCCCTTCTTGCTTCATCCCTTCTGGCTCGTTCCCACAAGGGCCAGCAGTGTCTGGTGATCCCACGCATCCTCTGTGAGCAGACTGGCCCAACCTGTGACTTCTCTGCCCTTGGATCTCATCTTTTCCACAGGGCCCGCCTGTCGCAAGCCCAGGCTCCTCCTCTGCACAATCAAAAGCCACAGAGCATTTTCCCTGCGAAGCCACCTTTATTGACCCAAAAGCACAAATCTCCCAGAGTGAATCTCTGAGCATGCACAGAGGGGTTTTGTTGAACCCAATCTAGTATTCAGTTCCAGGAACTCTCCTTATGAGTGTGCCTGGGCCCCATCCTGTTGGGAGGGTCATTCTGAAATTGAGCATGTCTCCTCTAATCCAGGCCCAATTCAAGGTGCTGGTTTTGACCGATAGAGCCCTGAACGGCTTGGGATCAGGATACCTGAAGGAACATCTCCTTCCTTATACGCCCTCATGCCCCGCTCTGAGAACCCTCCCTGAAGGAAGTAAAAGGGGCATCTACTCAGAGGGGGGCCTTCTCTGCGGTGCTGCCCAGATTGTGGAATGCGCTCCCCGGGGAGGTTTGTCTAGCACGAGTTGTGCTGAACCGGTGCCTGGCCGAGGTAATGGGCTGGATAAGGGCCAATAAACTGAAGCTCAATCCAGACAAGACGGAGGTCCTGTTGGTAGGTGGGTCAGGCTTTGGGATGGGGGACCTGGGCCTTGTCCTGAATGGGGTTGCACTCCCTCTAAAGGACAGGGCCCGCAGCTGCTCCTCGACCCGGAGCTGACTTTGGAAGCTCAAATCAGGTTTTGAGCTCTTTCCATCAGCTTCAGCTGATCCATCAGCTGCGTCCCTACCTGGAGGATGGCTGCCTAGCGACAGTGACGCATGTATTGGTTACTTCCCAGCTGGATTTCTGTAACGTGCTCTACGTGGGGCTGCCCTTGAAGACAGTGTGGATACTTCAGATGGTGCAAAACAGAGCAGCCAGGTTGCTGACGGGGACTGGGAGTTACTCTCACATAACCCCAGTCCTCTACCAGCTTCACTGGCTCCCCATTGAAGTCCGGGCTCAATTCAAGGTGTTGGTAATTACTTATAAAGCCCTTAACGGCTTGGGACCTGGATACCTGAAGGAATGCCTGTGGCCATATTTGCCCTCCCGCCCCTTGAGATCGGCAGCAGAGGCCCTCCTCCGGGAGCCTTCCATGAAAGATGCCAGGAGCAATGCTTTTTTTGTAAAAAAAAAAAAAGGTGCTGGAACTCACGTCGCCGCCGGCAGTAAGCACACACACCAATCCCAAGCCGAGCAGCAGCGGAGCAGCTTCCGGAGCAGCTATCTCTCACGATCAGATAGCAGATACAATAGCAGCCTGCAGACACTATGTTAATGATGTTTGCTGCAGATCTGCTAGCCAAAATCACTTCGTAAAATCCATTAAAAAAAAGGTGCCGGAACGCCGTGCCGGTGCGTTCTATGACAAAAAAAAGCCCTGGTCGGGAGGCAAAGTACCCGGAGGAGGGCCTTCTCTGTGGTGGTGCCCCATCGGTGGAATGCACTCCCCAGAAAGGTCCGCCTGGCGCCGTCGTTATTTGTTTTTCGGCGCCAGGCCAATACCTTTTTATTCAAGCAGTATTTTAATCATGTTTAATATTTATGTATTTTAATTGTGCAGCCAGTGTGTTTCCAGGTTTTAAGTGTAATTGTTTTATTTGTTACTTTTGTGAGCTGCCCCAAGGCTATGTAACAAGAGGACGGCATACAAAAACTTTCGATAAATAAATAAATATTCTTTTCAGCGCCAGGTTAAAACCTTTTTCTTTAATTGCTATTTTAAAAAATGATGTTAATGTTTATCAGTCGCTTTTATTTACCTTATTTAACTTATAGTTTTGGTCAATTGTTATTTATTATGTTGTTGTTATTATTATTATAATAACATTTCTATGCCACCCCTTGCCGAAACCTCGGGGCGGCTTACAATGTTAAGATTGTTGTTTCATTGTGGTTGTTTTAATAATTGTAAGTTGTCCTGAGATGCTATGCATAAGGGACGGCGTACAAAAGTTTCAAATAAATAAATAAAAATAAAAATAACCCTCTCATTGGGGCACTCTCCCCTGCCAGTGATATGTCAGGGGGGCAAGAGCCCGGCCGGCGCCTGAAACTCCCCTGCTCCGGGTCCCCTCCCACCAACTGGGCATCCTGGCTATTCCCAGGGACCGCCGGCCACCTGGGGAGTCTGCCCTTGGGAACGGCGTCTCGGCTTGGGCCACATCCCAGAATCTCATCCCAGATTCTCAGCTCCCCCCAGTTCTGCTTCACATTCTGATTCCGATTCCTCCGAGCCCCAGCTAGCCCCAAAAATGCAACCGCCAAAGAACTGAATCCTGGTCTGCCTTACAGGGCTGTCGTTGGGCTGGCTGACAAGCTTTGGAAACTGGGCAACGTTATCTAGTGCCAGGTTGCATTTCTGGGAACACTGGAAGCCGCCTTAGGAAGTGATCTACACCCGCCCCCAGCAAATGAAGGCAAGGACTAAAGGAAGAAGGTGCTGTTCTGCCTGAGCCCAATCCAGAGGCCCCTCCCTCAGTGGGTGTGGCTTGCAAGCCCTGAGCCAATAGCAGCCTGGCATCACCTCTCCAAAGTGTGCAAGTTGAGAATGGGTGACGTAACACAGAGATGCACATAATTTATTATATTTATACCCTACTTCTTCCTGGAAGGAGCTCAGCCTTGGCTTGCCAGGTTCTCCTCCTCTTCAGTTGATCCTCACAACAACCCAGCGAGGTAGGTGAGGCTGAGGGTCTGTGACTGGCCACAGATCACCCCAGAGTTTCATGGCTGAGTTGGGACTGGAAGCAAGGATCTTAGGAGTCCCAGAGCAGTGCTCTAACCACTAGGCAGCACTGACTCTCACCACAGTAGGCCCACGTGCGCGCTCTGTCCACTGCCCAGAAGCTGACTGTGGATTCACAATGTCAGGTCCCTTGACACTCTCTCTTCATATGATCAATTATCATTAACCCACCACATCAAAAGCAAGATACTGCCAATGGAAGGATTCTTCTCCACTCTCCAAAACAGAGGACTTTCCTTTGTAAAATAAGGCATCCAACCAGCCTATGGGGTCATCTTCATACGGCAGCTGTCAGTCTCAGACGTAAAGGAAGCGAAACGGACATTTCGGCAACGGTACTCAACAGGTTGTGGCCAGCTCCGTTTGGAAGTGCAACATCACAAATTTGGTTCGATTTGGTTTCCTTTGCAACATTTTATAATCGCTCCGGCACAGCCTTAAATCACCCCCTCTTCGCTCATAAAAACTCTCACAGCTGGAAAATGACCCTCGCTCATGGCGGTTGGATGACGACGCCCTCCGCTTAAAAGGAAGGGTCTCTTTTGGCCTGCGTTAAATCGACACAAGGACCCAAAACACACAGGCTGCACATGTGATTCATCCCGCACCATCTCAGGTACCAAGGTGCATGAGCCTTGGTCCTTAATGGACACGTTTTATGGGTGTGATTTATTCCTTGCCAGAAGCAAATGGTATCTCGCAGCCTCAGTTAAAACCTGGATTAGAGACAGGCTTAAGCCGGAGGCTTTGATCAGCGGAGTCCTTCCACAACTCCATCTCCGAGGAATTCGAACCCATGCCGCAAGTGGCTCTTACCTAAGCAACCGGCTTAGGCATTCCCCATCAGCCACCCCTTCAAAGCCTTCTCTGACTCAGACTTTTTAAAAGTTTAAATTGGCAAAGAGGACCGTGAAAGCTGCCAGACGTGGCTGAGAGATGCGGGGAGGGAAAGGAATATTCCAGAATGTTCTACTACTCTCGGCCAAGCTTAGGTAGGGACAGCAGAAGGTCTGAGGTGTGATGGGATGGGGAGGGACTGTTTTTATTCCAATTTACACTGATAATATACTGCATTTGAAGACTGATTTGCTAAGCTGTATGGCAGCCTTCCCCCAGCTGGGTCCTGTCCGAAGTTTTGGATTCTGGTGTCCCTAATCCGCCAGCTAGCTGCAGTCCAGCACATATAGGAGGGGTCAGGTTGAGGAAAGCTGTGCTATTCAATATAAGTGCAGAAGGATGTAAAATACCTTGGGTTTTGTGCAAGAGAAAAAAAGCAGCTTATAAATGCAATCTAATGACCACGACGACCTCATCAGCCTCATCACAGGCTTCCAAATGCCCAAGAGAGAAGGTCGTAATGAATGCTGGGGCCAGGTGGGCATCCCTGGGGAGATTGTTCCACGATTTGGGGGCCACCCTGGAGAAGGCCCTCACCTTTGTTGCTGTCAGATGCTCCGGAGCATCTGGGGAAGACCCACAGTGGTCTAATGCAGTGTATCGCCAGAGGAGAGGCACTCCAACGAGGATTATGGTCCAAAGCTTGTCGGACCATAATCCACAAGCCAACAAGGCTTGTTGGTCCAAAGGTTTCTGGAAGCTCGTGCTGGCAGGCCAGAATTGGGGTTATACAATGGGATCCTCTTGTCCTGTTCTCCGTTTGGCGGCCAGAATTTGTACCAGCAGCAGCTTCTGAACCATCTTCAAGGGAAGCCCCGCTTAGAA